ACTGCATTTACAACATGGAAGCAGCTACTCAAATCACCAGAGCAAGAACTCATGACCTTGGGTCATAACTGTATAATGAGCTCAGTCACTGACAGGAGAACTGATCAAGACACACCAATCTATGATTAAAAATGAGAAGATACATCAAAATACATATTAAACCATGTTTATCTATCTGAACAAAATCAAAATGTGGTTAGCAAGAAATCTGTGGCAACAGAAAAATGGAACTTCTTGTGATACTGGTGGTACCTCGTGGGTAGCCCAGGTGCTGAGGAAAGGGTGTGAACCACTGCATGTTGCACCCAGGACAAGACACTCTGCTTTTTAGGTTACCACCTCTGCTACATCTGGTTGTGTTTCAGGATCACTGCTTCCGATTATCAGACTTCTCCATGTGCAGCTACCATGCACTCTGCAGGTTTGTATATGGCCACAGGGCATGCAGCTGTATTTATATTTATCCTTTACATCTACCAAATTTTCTGTTCCTGTAATTTCTCAGTCTCCATATGGTTTGCAGATCATTGCCTGTCTGTGCTTTTAAGAAATCAAGCAAAGAATTGACCAGGTGTCATCACTGCTTACGCCCTCCCAACACCACCAAAACTGTTTGGCCTAATGCGAAGAAGCATCAACAGGCTGCAAACCAAGGCGCTGCAGAAGCTAGGATTCCCATGAGAACATTATTAAGAGAACACAAACAGCAGCTGGGATTTATACATAGGCAATCTTTGGACGATTGAACTGTGTTGTTGTTGAGTGTAACAGGACCTTGGGCCAGCCTAAAAGTAGGAGTTCAAAACTACACAAGTCACTGTGCACCTGGGTTATTTTGACCAGAATACTGGTTGAATGGTATGCATGGTGTGTGACAGGATATCTCGCTCCTGGAACACCTGGCCATAAAGTATGGGAATGATGGATGGGAAAGTGCTGTTGTATGTAAACATCCTGATTGGCTGCATAGTCAGGCCCTTCTCTGCAGCTAGAAAAGCTGAGGTAGAAGATAAAAACTTCACTTGGCATTCATCTGCTGAGTTGGTTTCTTGTTTTCAGCTCACCGCAGCCTTCCATTGCTATTATTTTCCATAGGAAAATACGTGATTTCACCTTTCTCAGTGCAGCATGGTCTCTGTGGCACTGGAGGTGAGGAGAGGAGGGAACACACCAGAAAGGAGCGCCTTCACCGTGCCTCCACAGTTGTGAGGAAAGTGCTGCTGGGCAGGGCAGGATAAGCGGCTCCACCTCGGTGACCAGCCCTCTCCACCACCCAGTGCTTACCCCAGGACGAGCAGCTGTGGCTAACGCTTGACAACGGGCTCACTGGTCCTCCCAGACAGCCAAGGCTGGAAAACATGGGCCAGACCGGAGGGGAAGAACGCCTTTGAGAGGAACCGAGCATGCAAATCACTCCACTTTTCCCTGGAAAAAGGTCTGAGTCAATCCGAGCATTGTTTTCCAGCACAGGCTGATGCCACTTCCCTACCAACAAGTGAGTGTAACTATTGCATCCAGAGTGCCCGATACAACGCAGCTTAAACCATCTCCCCTTACTGCAAGCCAGGATTCACAACTGCAGAAAAGCCACATTCTATAGTCTGATTGGGAAGGGGGGAAATAGAAGCAAGATTTATGTTCCAGCTACGGCAAATATTTTCCCTATGCCTGTTACTGAGCCGCTATGCTTAACTGGGAGCCAAATTACAGATGTTCTCTAATGCATCTGGGAATATCATGAAAGTATATTTCATATATATGCTGAAGTATGGAGAGTTTCCAAGTTCTGAACCTTTGCCACAGAAGCAATAGCAGGCTGTGGAAATCCATGAAAACTGCTTATACTGCATGAACTCTGCCATCCCCCTCACCACCACACGTAGACCGTGCTGTTGGCCAGGACATCCCTGTTTTGCTTCCCTGCCTGCTTTTCTGTTGCGCAATAGGTGTCCTTGGGAGGAAATGCTAAATTTATGATCACGAGCCCTTTGAAACGCTCTCCTCAGCAGCCACGCGCACGCTGCTTTTACACACGCAGGACCAATCTCCTCCCTCCTTTAGGGCCCAAGTCACAGTCGCAATGGCTCCAACAGCATCTGCCCACAAGCAGGACAGGTACACCCAGCTCCAGTGTGGACACGAGGCAGCCAAACAGCATTAAAAACCTTTGCCATTTGTCGTGTGGACATAAGTCGTATCAGTGTGGTCTTGTCTGGCTGTACCTGTACCATGCAGGACTCAGTTCCCTGTGCTCTGCTGCACAGAGCTCCCAAAATCGTGCTGAAGAGGTGAATTAATTCCAGCTTTGCTCCAACCAGCCTAGCGTCAACAGACTGCTGCGTCTCATTCTGCTGCAATCCACAAACCTTCTCAGGTCTGTGGATGCATATCTTTGTGAGTCTATAATGTCTCATCTCTGTATCAGCTGGTTTACCTACTATGGCAATTACAGAGCCATCTCATGACGTATAAGAAGAATTTGGACTATGAATATATAATGGTAACAGAAGAGGACATGCTGCCTACAAGAGTAAATGAATTCCTAGCTGTATGGAAGAAAAGCTTCCTAACAGCAGTTTGGGAGCGTTTGGTTTGTTTGGGATTTTGCTTTGTGCTTTATAAACAGGCCATCTTCGCTGTGTGTAATAAGCTGAATGGGACTGAAACAAGGAGGATCTGATGTATTCCCATGTGAAATGCATCCCTGTGTGAACCTGATCTATTTTTCCTGAAATCTGTGCTGTGCTTCTAGATAAGTTTGTGTGGAAAAGAGATGGATTTGACTCCATTACTGGTTCCCCCCCATCCCCTGTTTTAAACGGACAAAGAGCTGATTTCAGCATCCTGCAATTCTAGTGATTCTAGGACTTACTGTAGCCTCCACCTGGTACTTCACTTGTTTTTACAAATATTGTCCCACTTCCCAGGCTTTCCAATGTCTTGGGTTTTTGCTGGTGTTCTGTAATTTAAGAATTAAAAGTCCCAAACCAGGGAGAAGGGAGATAACCTCTATGTGCTCATGCCTAGTTTAAATATACCTTTTATTCCTATCCTTCCCCTCCAGTTTCTGCATCTTCTGAGCACCACTGATACTTTGACCCCACCATCATGGTGTTCACAGTTACTGAACAGATAACAGAATTGCTGATAGTGACCCTGAGGGATGTCACTGCGGTATTGCTAACCTTGAGAAGAGGCTCACAAGCCATGCAGTGCACACACGCTCTAACAGCTTACCAGCTTCGCTATGGTTTTCGTGGATACTGAGGACAAAGAAGACTAGCAGTGTATTTACTGACTACCCCACCAGTAATGTTCAGCTACTTTTCCAGAATATGAAAGCAGGGTCTTCTCCAGAGCGTGAAACAGGAAGATAAGCCAAATACAGCTGTGGCAGTGTTGTAAAGCACGGCTTCCTGGCGATAGGAGCCAAAAATCCCAGAACCATTACCCATATTTTCACTCAGGCTTGAAACTTCAGACCAAGCGTGCCTACTTCCATCCATCTCAAATCATTCACAAAGTACATCAAAATACTGTTCCTCAAGTATTTATACCCAGACAAGGTTCAGTAAAGGTAAATGGTGAGGCAGATATATTTATTTGGCTCTATTTACCATTTTGGTCTCATCTACCCAACATCTCCAGCCAGAGATGTGGGGAAATCAGCAACACTGCTGGGCAGCCCCACTGTCTTTTCATCCCTTACCTTTTCTCTGAGGTAGAAGAAGCCTTTCACGTGCAGCTCATTTGAAAAACTCAGTATCATCACACAAAACCAAGTTGGCTCCTTTGCTTTTACACAATTTGTCCTCAGACCAGATATATGTTTTGGTTTTTTTCTCAAAACATAATCTTTTCCCACAGCCTTGTTCTGAGACACACACTCCAGAGAGACCCATTACCCCCTGAGCAAAGTGGAAACTGTTGTTCATCTCAAAATACATGGAATTCATACATCCACACACGGATGGCAATGAACCTGCATCTATACTTTTTGCTAGAAGTGAAGATTGGTGCGAAAATCATCTCAAAACAAGTTCCACAGGGAACCAAGTATAATAGGAAAGAGAAGGTACCCAGTGTCTGTGAAAGAGCTGCAGAGCCTGCTGTCAGGAGGAGCTCGACTGAAGGTGTTGCATGCTCAGGCAGTGGGGCTCTGCTCGCTCTCAGTGCTGTCTGCCACCTGCACCAACATTTTAACCGGACGTTTTGTCTGAGGACCAATGAAGTGCTGGGCTTGGAGGGAGCATGTTATCCCTAGAGAACATAAAATGACACAACATAAGCAGCAAGACCACCAAACCTTTTTTTTAATCACTGATTCAGAGATACCAGCTGCAAAGCACTGCCTGCATTACAGTTCACTCCCTATTGCAAACCTACAAATTGTCTGGGTGCTTCAAAATAACAAATGACCAGCTTGACTTTCCCAGAGAAAAGAAAATTGCCAGAACTTTTCCATTGCATGCAGCTGTTATTAACAGAATCACAGAATGGTTTGGGTTGGAAGGGACCTTAAAGATCATCGACAACAGCATCAGCTGATTTGTTACATGTTTTCACGTCAGTCCTCACAGAGGAGTATTTTGTAGTGTGAATAAGGGCCAGACGTTGTAAAAACGATGATCCAGAACTAAGAAGGATATCTACCCATGGCCTGAGCCCAGATAACGAAGTGCCTCATCCACATTAGTAAAACATTAACAGAGGTTATGGGTTGTCATAGTAAAATGAGCGGCTGCACTGAATGTAATTTCATTTAGGGTTGTTCAGAAAATTGACATCATGGTGGCGAGAACGTATAAATAACCAGCTCGCCGCATCTCCGATCGACCGCAGCAACATCTCCGAGGGTGGCGTTCTGCAGGCTCGGCTCCGCTAGCGGCAGGAACGGGATTTCGTGAAGCACACCAATCCTCTTTATAAAACAGCTCTGAGAACATCCGAGAGATTTTTTCCTCTGCCCGTGATTGTGTTTGCCGCTTCCGTAAGCAAGGATGTGCACGGGAGGCTGTGCCAAGTGCCTGGGAGCCACACTCATCCCCCTGGCCGTGCTCTGCACCCTCGCTAACATCTTGTTGTTTTTCCCTGGAGGAAAAGTGGTTGAAAACAATCAGCACATTACAGACGAGGTCTGGTACTTCGGAGGGATCCTGGGATCTGGTGTGTTGGTGAGTACATGAAATCAGACGTTCCCACCCTGCCTTGGCTTTGCATTGCTGAACTTCCTCAGTACCTCAGATGCAGGTTCCAACACTGCCAATTCTTGATAAACAAGTAAGTTACAAATCATGCAACAGTTTTGCAATAAGTAACTTAGTGTAGTGATAAGGAAAAAAAAAGGACATAGAACTGTTACATTTAAAAGCAAATGTAACTTGAATTCATCCCAACTAAAACTGTATTTCTGTTATTGGTAGATGATCTTTCCTGCCTTGGTATTTTTGGGCCTTAAGAATAATGATTGCTGTGGATGCTGTGGTAATGAGAGCTGCGGAAAGAGGTTTGCGGTAAGTGAAACGCGGCAAAAAAGTAAAAGCTAAATTGTCGCTGATACGACATATGCGTCTGCTGCTCACAGCCACTGAGGCTATGGGCAGGTGCTGTCCAGAGCGCAGGACACAGAGCTCTGCCCTTTGTCTGAGTGCTGGGAAGTAGAAGCAGCACAAAAATTGCGTGATGCCTTTGATGTTGTGCCACAGGCACGGCAACCATACCACCGTGTCGTATTCTGCTGCCACAAGATGCAATTAAAACTGATTTCTGGAAGGCCTGCCCTTTGTGTTGCAGCACATAACAGTTCCCTCTTGACCCATGTTTTGCTGGCAGTTTTTAACACCGTTCTGGCAGTGGGCACTGCATTCCCAGCTCGCTGCAGACCCACGCAATGTGCTGCGTCTCACTGCGCTCACAGGAAATTTCAGGTTGGAAGAGACCTTGGGAGGTCTCCATATCCAACCTCCTGCTTAAAGTCGGGTAGACTTGGAATTTAGAGTTACCTTTCACACTAGAAGTGAAAAGGTTCAAATGGATACCTGCAGACACCAGTAAACATTTCAAGCATTTTAGCTTAAAAATGAGATTAGAAAGAAGATAAATATAGTTCTACTAGGAAAGTCTGTCCTTTTGGAATAGACTGTTTGGCTCAAGTAGGTCATTACACTTTTTTAATAAAGGAGCAGGTTTTCAACTGAAAAAAAAAGAAAAAAACAAATAGGAAAATAATCGTGACTGTGAGGTTAACAAGGAGCCTTCCCTAAATCCCGTTTGATGCTTCCTCCATGTAATCGAGGGGGGACATGGAGCCACACATTGCTCTCTGCACACTGCGTTACTGATTTTCTGTCAGCAGCGAGCACACCTTAGTTGAGCTCTGCAGACCACGGATAACGCAGGGGTTGCTGCTGTGCACACCTCCACAAGGCAGCCACAGGGCGTGGGGGCGCCCCGGGAGCCCCCCGTCACGGTGAGCACCACTGGCTGGGACAGGGAGCGTTGGTACAGCCACACATACCAAGTGCACCGTGTAAAGAGCCCCGGTGGCCTCACCACCGCATGACTGAGAACCGAATTTGTTCCTGTACGTTAGCAGAAACACCGGTACGAGGATGCCCACTGCAAAAACCACGCATGAGTTAGCCCCATCAGGTGTATCAACGTAAAAACACATGTAACAACAATGAAAGACACTACCTCTGCCTACAAACTACTATCACTACAAGTGCGTCTGAATTCAAGTAGGGCAGTAGTTTTTGCATGATTTACTTGCGTATTAGTGTAAATGAAAATGCTGTGATAGAAAGCCAGAAAAACACAGGCATCCTTTGCAATCCATTCCTATCCGCTATTAGAGCTATTGACAAGGAGTACCTGCCAGGAGATGAAGTATACCAATGTGAAACCTGAAGGGGAGACTCAGGAAGGAAAAATAGAATTATTTGGTCCAAATATGACCAAGATACCAAAGCTAACTTGTAAGCGGTACTGTAGATTTTTTTTAATGCCTTGAGTGGTCCCAGACTTCAGTCCTGCTTGTAATCTCCTGCGAAAGACGCACAATCCAGCGGGACACAGGGCCTGCACCCAGGTCTGCGGGACTGTCAGAGGGGAGCAGGGACCCCTCTCGCGTCAGCATCGACCCTCTCGTCTTCAGGACAATGCTCTTAAGGCTTACGAACACCAGTGAGGGTGTTGCATTGCACACTTATTATGTAATTGCAAACTAATGTATTCTAGCTGTTCAGGAGTTGACTATTTTGACCGTTAAGAGCTGAATTAGGCAATGTGCATTCACATTAATAGGGAACATTTCATCCTTTGAATGAGAACAAAAATAACGTTCTTTTTCTCTTCATCAGATGTTTTCGTCTATAATATTCGCTGCAGTTGGACTCGTGGGAGCTGGATACTGCTTTGTTTTGTCAGCAGTGGCCCTAAACAAAGGCCCTAAATGTAACACTGGAACAGAGTGGACCTACCCCTTCCAGGACGGGTAAGACAAGACAATCAGAAAAAAAGTTACACATCTTTTACGTTCGTGATATGATTTACCTTCCAAATGCGTTGTATGAAAATGGGAATTACGCTGTTTGCCCAAAGCACAGAAGCTATTAGAAAAGCCAGTGTCGCACTGCCACGTTAAAGAATGTTCAGGAGCACAGATGTAAAGCCTAGCAAGTGCAATCAAAACTGAGCTTCAAAGAAGCCAATAAAGAGAAATGTGCAAGCTTCCAGGTTATTCTCGGGATGATAAGCAGCACACAGGGATAAATTACACCTAGATGAACAGCAGTGACACCTTATATTGAAATTTGATGGTATGTGAACAATTAGTATCTCTGTGTCATTTTATCCTGGTTATGGAATTTGGGCATCGTCTGCTCTTCACACTGCAACTCCAACATGTCTGTGGTTGTGTATTCACCACTTCCAGAGGTGGTGTGAACCACACGAAACGCTCGCAATCCAAGGTCAGCAAAGGTGCAGCTGGGAGGGGGTGTGACGCCTTACCAGGGAGAGCAGGATGCATCAACAAGGGGTGCAGTGAGCCCCCCCACCAGAGAACCTCCAATGCAGTCTTCCCCGGTCAAGAGCGACCCAGCAGCACTTCTTGAATAATGCACCACAGAATTATAGTTCAGGTTAGGAAGAAAAAAGGAGGTATAAAGTTGTATGTTACACATTATTTGTTAATGGGCCAGTGAGGGCTGGAAACCAACTGCTCTGGTCTCATTCTGGGAGTACTTGGAAAAATATGCTCTGTTTCAAACACAATTTTGGTTGCAGTCATAAAATCAATTGACAAGAATGCAAGAAACAAAACAGCATTAAGAATATGCAAAGTATATAATTTATAGTTAAAATTACAAAATACAGTAAGTAAAGCAGCTCATAATTCAATCAAAATGTGAAGGTAAAAACTATGGAAAACACTTCACCTGGTACTGCTGTTCTCTACACAAGACATCTAGAACAGCAAAGGTTGTTCTTTTCTGCTCAGTGAGCAAGAGATGATTGGCCTTATAAAGTTTGATATTTTGTTAGGAAAACTGAGTTCATTAATTTATCATATCATTTTGATAAGGCTGAACATGTTTGACACACGCTTGGCTAAGACCTCTTCCTCCCAAAATACCAGGAACAGCTCAGCTGTGTCTAACACACACTCGTCCGGGATTGCTCCCTTCCGACGCCTTGTCTTGTCAAACCAACTGCTTCCATTGCTCACGGTGTGGTCCATAACCGTTTTGTTCCCCCCAGGAACTACCTCTCTAACCACACGCTGTGGGATATGTGTCAGTCGCCCGAAAACATCGTCCCGTGGAACCTGACCCTCTTCTCCTTGCTGCTGGTGATGAGCGGGATCCAGGCAGTGCTCTGCAGTATCCAGGTGGTGAACGGCCTCTTGGGAACGATCTGCGGGGACTGCAAATGTTGCGGATGCTGCGGGGTGAGCAACTGATGGTTTTCTTTCATTAATCTGGGTAGTGATGATAGCTGGCAGTCCAAAAAACCAAAACTAGCCTTCACACAGTGCTGTGATCATGTTTTCTGAAGTACAGGTGAAGCCCTACAGTGTTGCCAGGTGCTGAAAATACGAACTTCATACATATTTATGGTGTTTATCTGACAGCTTCCCACACCACTGCGAAATAATAAAAACCTTTGAACATCACATGAATAGCAGCCAATAAATTACCTTCATGTTCTTCCTCTTCCAGGGAGATGGGCCTGTCTAAAGAACATGGACACTGCAGACAACCCTCCTGGTCTCGGGACCTCCCCGCTCCACACAGCGGCCCTCGGACACATCGTCTCTGGCTAAGATGAGAATGAAGGGCACTTCCCTCACTAACGTTATGAAGCCCAGACTCCCTTTCTAGCCTTCCTGAAACCCCTCACCATGGAATAAAATAAGTGAAATTCAACGCTCACATTCATATTTATTTTTGCAAAACAGCTCCCATTTATAAAGAAGGTGTTCTCAGGCAAAATATTTTCTCTCCCGAGTGAGCTTTCCAACTGAGGATCACCAAATGCTGCTGGTACGAGCTCAGTTGTAATGCAGTTGTGTCTATTTTCTTTTGAGGTTCACCAGATGGAAATATCACAAGTCTAACATTTTGAGCACATGCTTACTTTACGTGGAAAAGTGAGGAGTTTGAGGACTTCTCTCTTCCAAACCTGCTATGGTTAAAATGCTCTCTACAAAGAGTCTCTGTTCCAAAAGAGATTTGCAAATGAGAGATGGTGAGGTCTCTTTTCCTGGCCGTGTCTGACGATGGCTGCATTCAGCAGCACTGCTGTGCAGGTAAGCGCAGGGTCAAAGTAAGAGGCAAAAGGACAGAGTGTTGTGGGCCCCAGGTCTGAGGCGCTGGGAGTCATCGTGGACACCACCACACCCTGGTCCGCACCAGAACTCAGTCAGAAAGGCCAATTCAGAGACATTTCTCAGCAGGATGGAGATCTCCAATCACTGTCACCAGAGGGGACGTATCAACACAGCACGGCTGCAGGAGGTGAAACTGAAAACAGAAAGCGTGAGGATGCGGCAGCTCACAGAGACCTTCCCAGCTACAATTCCTGGTGCTCCAGGACCTCCTGAGACAAAGGCTCCACCTCTGCCCTTAGCTCTTACCGAGGGATTCCTCCCCCACGAAGCCGTCCAGTTGTTTCTGGATCACAACGCCCCTGCCACAGTGCTGTGGGAAGCGCCTCCCTTGTCCTGACCCTGTCGCCTGCTCCTTTCAGTTCTCCTTCAGGAGAACTGAAAGGTTCTAGTCTCCTAGTTCTTGCCTGTGAGAAAGGGTGCACAGCCAGCCCCAGCCCCTCTTCCCCATGATACCCGATTTCATAGGTTCTCTCATCTCCTCTCACTTCTCTCTTTTTAGCCTGAAGAGCATTAGCATATTTAGCCACTCCTCATACAGAAGTTGTTTCAGCTTCGTTTGAAGTTCTTTTGACTTTCTCCACCGTTCTCTGAGATGGGAGGGGCAGAGCAGGGGCTCCAGGCACAGGCCACTGCCCTGGCCATTACCAGCAGAGTTCATTAGCTACAAAGACAAGGATGAGCCACAGCCTGATTGGTCACTGCTGCAGGTCCCACAGGTCTTGTCTTGGCAGAGAGCAAGCCTCTTCTCATACAGAACAGCATCTTCAAGCACCGGCTCCAAACTAATGGCAAATGAAGCCTCATTTCTAAAGCATCAAATAAATTTCCACATCTCTGATATAATATAAAATTGGTACCCATGGGAAGGTGAGGGATGCACCCTATTTAAATCCAGCTACATTGTAAGAAAATGCAAAACCTCAACATATGTGATCTAGCTACATGCTGAAATAAGTCATATGTCTGTAACCTTGTCTTGAATCTCTCTTGTACAGAAACTGCACAGACTGTATAATTTTATGATGCAGAAATATTCGCAGTGAGTAACAAACTCCGTTTTTACATGTGAAGTAAAAGGGCTTTTAACCCTCTGCGCATGGCACTCACCAGCTGTGGTCTCCTGTCCAACAAAGGCGATGTGGTGATGCAGAGTCAAACAAGTCTGGGAGGCGTCTCTGGAGCTGACCTTGGTGTGCAAAGGCAGCGCAAACAACACGTAAATAACTTGTAAGGCATCTGCGTAACCTGCTCTTAAAAGTCTCTAACTTCAGAGACCCAACTTCTTCAGCGTTTTATAACACTGCTAACTGCTCTGAAAGCTGGAAAGACTTTCCTAATATGTAACCATGCCCACCCTGGGACAAGGCTGTTCTCTTCCCTTACAGGCTTACAGAAAAGACTTCCTCTTCACAGCAAATGTGTGCATATCTGGAGCCTCCTGTCATGTTTCAGTCTCACCTCTGACAGAACTTTCGCTCTTCCTCATAACTGATGCTTTCACAGCCCAGGGCTCATCTTGTCCCGCGAGCTTCTGCCACAGCTTTCCAGAGGCTGAGCACTGGACTGGAGACTTCAGCACAGGTCACAATCCCTGTTCTCAAAGCTGCTTTTCTTAAAGCTCCCAATCTATGCACGAGTGCAAATGCTATTTATTCATCTGTTTGCAGTTCAATGTAGCACAGTGCCATGAAAGGTAAAAGGGGGTTGAAAAGCAAAAATACTTTTTAGAAATAATTAGTCTTCCAAAACTTAAAAAAACCCCAAAACTAGTTCCCAAAGAAATCAAGGAAGAAATAAGAGGAATGGGAGAAGTTTGAGGGATTCAGATCAACTGATATGCTTCTTCGGAAATACCTAGAACAAATTTTCACAAACCAGCTTGCCAGAATGGATGTCTCAAGGGTTCATGTTCATCAGTGTATTTGCCACAACTTTTCCCTAAGATTTTCCTCCTGAAATAATGACTCTGTGGCCTACGCTTTCAGAAAATGTATTTCACGTACTCTGTATCTACACTAGAGACATCTGAAGATTTAGAGTATTCAGAAGCACTAAAAAGCCGGTGAACAATATGGAAAATTGTTAAAATAGCTGGATTTAGCTACTAAGAGTTACACTAATAAAAGCAAAGTGGCCTCAGTGATGCATTGTGCAAGATGATAAAAGAAATTATTAAAAAACCTCTTAAGAAACAGCTGTCTCTCCCACCTGTTGTAGCACATTCCTAGGGAATTTGAGAGGACCCCTTATATCCCCACCCCCTGATACAACCATCTTACTTCTTCCCTTTCATCTGTGGTTTGCAGCTGTCCTGCACCTCGTCTCACATTTGTCTTGTTTTATTTATATGGAGCCTTTGGGAACACGGAATGTTTCCCATCAGCATGCAACAAAGGGGCGGGAAGCTGCATAGCGTACAATTTTGATATATTAATAAACAGAATACACAGATCTTTGTGAGAGACTTGGGATAGAAAAATAACAGACAGGAAGCTATGATGCCTAAAAGCAAAGCTTCTAGGATGCCCAGTGACACAGCAGTTTGCTAACACGAGCTAATGAACAGCAAACACCGAGACAAGGCGCACAGCTTTCACCTCCTGACCTCGGCTGCATTTGCACCTTGGCTTTGGGGTGCATTGAACAAGCACAGATAAACTGGAGCCAGCAGCTGGGTTGATCCAGCACTTTAAAGTGCCAACAACAGCGTTCCTACATCTGATCAGGTATGGTTAACATCTGAGGCTTACCCCTAGCGTTTAATTTCAAGGGAATCACACTTCTCTCCGGTGTCAGTTCTGCAGTAACTGGAGATCGCTCTCTGTGCTTTTACTGAGCAGCCACAGGTTGTTGTAACAGAAGATACAATGGGCCAGCAATGCTCCTGGGAAAGGTGTCACAGGTAACGAGAGGACAGTGCGACAGGGACAGAGAGATGACGGCAAGAGGAACCATGAACAGGGAGAACTGACAGTGTTAAAACAGACCTTGGTCACCCTGACCAAGGTGACCACCACACTCAGCTTTAGTGTCTACAGACATCAACTGTTAGACAGATGCAGAAATCCCAGCAGTCTAAAGCAAAACCATTTATAAAATCTCAGAGATGCCCGTGTTATCTGAAGCTTCGTTATTCACCCACAGAAACTGGCTGCTCAGCAACTGTGCCGAGAGCACAGCACTTGTGACATGGTTTCAGCTGAGAGTTTACATAAAAAGAAACACGCTGGTTATTCAACAACTCGGGTTGCAACACGTGGAGCAGGCGCACGTGGTTTTCAGCCCACGCGTTTCAACTTCAGCCTGACAAAACTGGTGCCCCTGCACGGCTAAACTATTGATTGTCTCTGATAAATAGACTGCAACACGATGATACATTAACCACAGCACAGCATCACCTGTCAGGGAACGATGCATTATTTCACTGGCAACTCTTTGCAAAAGGCTTGTTTCTAAAATTAGGAAGTAACGTACACAAAGTTAAAAGGTTTTGCTCAGCCAAGAGCAAAGGGTGTTTTCCAACATCGCTCTAGTCTTGAATGTTGGCAGTTCAATTTTAACTTTCAACTTTCCCACTTCACAGCATCTGTGTTACTCGTGGTGTAACCATCAGCAAGGCAAACTGAAGGAACCCCTCCTGCCCCAGGACGGAGAGGCTGACTCACTCTGGGGCACTGGTACAAGGGGGTCTTCAGAGGACAGACACTGGTATCACAGTGATGGACAGGAATAAAAGCCCAGATTAAAAAAACTCTCAAGTTTTTCTTCTTGCTAAATTACTTTTTCACTGGGAGACGACACGCAGTTTAACTGAAACTACAAAAAGCTCTGCCAATGCATTTGGATTGTCTTACAGAAACCTTCATTATCCCCTGCCTGTCACTGCTCACTTGCGACAGGATCCCTTCCCAAAATACAAATCGCTCCCGCCTGTGGATCCAAACAGTCCAAACCGAAAAGAATCATTGGTAGGCACTGAAAAATACGCAACTGATTTACTAATTAATTGTGATAGTTAGTTTATGGCATTATTCGGAGATCTCTATGTGCAGAAAACACGCGCCAGTGAGCGTCTCCCAGCTCTGCCCGCTGCCTGCTCC